ATGGCAGCAGCAGCATTTCATCGTGTTAAGATGCAGATTAATACACCTATGCTGATATTAAAAAAGATTACTTTTTTGGTGCTAAGTATCTTTGTTTCACAAATTAGGGCCATGGCCCTGCCTTTACTTGTGCTTGTTCCTAACTGGAAGTAGATGATGTTCTGATGGAAGCCCAGGAATCATGCAGTGTTGCTCGGAAGGGAGCTCTGGAGGTCATCTCGTCCAGCCTCCTGCTGGAGGCAGGACTGGGGCCAGCACTAAAGCAGGTCAGCCGTGATCTTGTCTAGCCAGGTGATGAAAACTTCCAAGGACAGAAATTCCACAGTCTCTATGGGCAGCCCATGCTGCATTACCCTACCAGTGATGCTTTTTTTTTTTCTGATAACCATTCTGAACCTTGCAAAACTGTGGCTGCTGCTGCTTGTTATGTCATGTGGCACCATGGAGAAGAGTTTGGCTCCACTATCTTGGTAAATACTCTTTGCGTATTTTCAGGCAACTATTAGATCACGCAGTTCTTACCTTCCCAGTGTACACGCCCTCCACCGAGCCCTGTGCTAAAGAGCAGCCTGGGAGGTGGTGAGCGAGGCAGTGGGAAGCCAGGCACGGATTGGGGTGCACATCTCTCCTCCTCTGTATGGCTGCATCGTTCCTGCTGCGTTTCCACTGCAGTCCCGGCTTTTACAGCAAAAGGTACCTGCTGGTGGGACTGTGTCCCCAGGAAGGAGGGTGCAGAGCTGTAGCTCTCCTTGCAATGCCTGCTTCCTGAACTGGCACAGAGGAAAGTAAGAGATGCATCTAGTGACCACTTTGACAGTCTCATTCATTCATGTGAATGCCTGAAGCTGTCTTCTTCCCTTGCAGGTATTTTCTACCCAACTGTTTGCATGTCATGCAAATCATGTCAGTGATTTGTATTTTAGTGTTACCTGTGCCTAGGACAGAAGGATTTACTGATTTGATGGTACAGATGGACATGTGTAGACCAAGGTATTAATGAAAGCAAGACATACACACACTGTGGGTGTTTTTCCTCTTTAAAATACCTTTTCTGGACTGCAGAATAAAAAGATTATTTCTGGCACTAGAAGTGCTTTTCTGTTTTCTTTGCGGCCACTGGCCAGCCACCTGCCAGGGACTGCTCGGGTCAGAGCAGAGGCAGCAGCGGGTGAGGGGGATTTGAATTTTTTTGGTGGTGCATTTTGAAGGCAAGCTCTGCCAGCTGCATTTTAGTAAGTTGTCATGAATTGCTCCCAAGTTTGTGGTTTGAGGGCAGCTGTATAGTCAGAGGCTGCTAACTGTGTATGCAAATGGATAAAACATTTAATGGAGTGAAAAGCATTTGCTTCTAGGAAAAGACAGTCATGCAATGCCAAGGCAGATAACTCAATACTGTTGATCTTTGTTGCTATCTCTGGATTAAAGTAAATTTCCTCTTTAAACAGCAGCCTATGTCTAATTTAAAGCTATCTCTCATCTGGCTGATAGATTGTTTCCTCCCTCCTGTGGGGACAGAGATGTGCTCCGGAGTTGGCACCCAGCTTCTGAGGCAGGAAAACACACACGACTTGCATTCAGGCACTAGTCCTGGGAAAGCCAAAACACAGTGGGGCCTCTGCTCTCCAGGTGTATTGTCCCAAGTCTCCCTGTGCCCATGGCTGCGGGTCCCGAGGCAGTGTCGTGGTTTAACCTCAGCTGGCAACTGAGCACTACACAGCCACTCACTCGCTCTGCCCCCCTCCGCCATGGGATGGGGGAGAGAATCGGAAGGGCAAAAGTGAGAAAACTCACGGGTTGAGATAAGAACAGTTTAATAATTGAAATAAAATAGTAATAATAAAACAATATACAAAGCAAGTGATGCACAATGCAATTGCTCACCACCCGCCAACTGATGCCCAGCCAGCGGTCCCCCCGGCCAGCTTTCCCCCAGTTT